AACCAGGGCCGGGGGACAAACTGCAACTGAGGTACGTGCAGTTAGGGGGAACCGAACCTGGGTCTCACTGGACCACAGGTTGACGCTCTAACCGCTGAGCCAAACCGGCCGGGGCAAACTTTTATCAAAGAAAAATATTCATATAGAAAAGTTTACGCCTGGTCGGTGTGGCTCAGTGGTTGAGCGTCGACCCATGCACCAAGATGTTGCTGGTTCGATGCCCAAGTTGTGGGCACCATCCCTACTAGGGGGCATGTGCTAATCAATGTTCTCTCTCATCAGTGTTTCTATCTCTCTCTCCCTCTCCCTTCCTCTCTCTCTAAAATCAATAAAGAAAAAAAAAAAAAAAAAGCTCACATACCATAGGTGTAAAGAGTATGCTGAACATTCACAAAATGAGCACACCCATGTTCCCAGCACCCAGATCGAGATATAGCACTTTACCAGCAACCAGAAGCCCTTCCTCAAGTCCCCTTTCCAGTCATTACCTCCCCCAAGGATAACCCTAAACTGACTTTAACAGCAGAGATTTGTGGTATTTTTTTGAATCACTAAGTTTTGAAAAAATTTATCTTAATTGTTGAAAGTATTACAGATATCCCTCCTTTTTTCCTCCATTGACACCCTCCTCCCTGCCCCCCCGCTCCCGACAAGCAGAGATCAGTTTTACCTGTTTTTGAACTTTTATAATTTTTTTCTTTATTGATTTTAGAGAGAGAGAGGGAGAGAGAAACACCTATGAGAGAACATTGATTGGCCGCCTCCTGCATGCCTCCCACTGGAGACTTGGCTCACAACCTGGGCATGTGCCCTGACCAGAAATCGAACCAATGACCTCTCAGTGCATGGGTTGACGCTCAAGTACTGAGCCAGACCAGCCGGGCTATAATTATTTTTTACCCTCACCTGAGGATATTTTTCCATTTTTTCCCATTTATCTTCAGATAGAGTAAGAGGGAGGGAGGGAGAGAGAGAGAGAGAGAGAGAGAGAGAGAGAGAGAGAGAGAAAGAGAAAGAGAGAGATGTGAGAGAGACACATCGAGTGGTCACTACCCACACAACCCCAACTGGGGCTGGGGACAAACTGCAACCAAAATACATGCCACAAGCAGGAACCGAACCCAGGACTCTCAGGTCCTCAGGCCGACGCTCTAACCACTCAGAAAACCTGCCAAGGCTGTAGTTTGTTCTTTTTCATTGCTATTTGCTAGTCCATGGAATTAATATAGCAGAGTTAGTTTCACTATTGTTGGGTTATTTTCAGTTTGGAATTATTAAAATAGTGCTTCTTTGAACATAGTTGTTCATTCATGTCATTTCGTGCAGGCATTTGTGCTGAGTCTTTAGGGAAAAAAGCTAAGTCCTTGGATATTTTCCCTCAACTTTATTTTTCATTTATTTATTTTCTTTTAGTATGTGCCCCTAGCGGGAACCGAACCTGGGACTCTCTGGTCCAGAGGCCAATGCTCCAACCACTGAGCCAAACCAGCTAGGGCTGTCTTCAACTTTTTTTTTTTTAATCTTTATTGTTGAATGTATTACAGATGTTCCTCATTTTTCCCCCATTGACCTCCTCCTCCCCACTCCTGCCCCCCTCCTGCCTTTTCCCACACTGTTTTCTGTGTCCATTGGTTATGCATATATGCATATAAGTTCTTTGGTTTATTTCTTCTCACCCACCAAACCTCCCTTCCCTTTGAGGTTGTCAGTCTAGCAACCAATCTGTACTTCTTAATCCCTTCACCTTTTTCACCCATTCCTCCAACCCCCCTTCCATCTGGCAACCAAAAAAATGTTCTCTGTTATCTATGAGACTGTTTCTGTTCTGCCTGTTCATTTTGTTTGTAGATTCCATTGTCGGTAGATATGTATTCATTGCCTTTTTTTTTATTCTCACCCGAGGACATTTTTTGTTCAGATAGAGTGGGAGGAAGAGAGGAAGAGAGAGAAAGAGAAACATCGACGTGAAAGGGACACATTGAGTGGCTGCCACCCGCACGACCAACCAGGGCCGGGGACAAACTGCAACCCAGGTACGTGCCCTTAGCAGGAACCGAACCCGGGTCTCCCTGGACCGCAGGCCGATGCCCCAACCACTGAGTCAAACCGGCCAGGGCTTCATTGCCATTTTGTTTGTTCATATATTTTATCTTTTTCTTCAAAAAGACCCTTCAACATTTCATATAATAACGGTTTGGTGGTGATGAACTACTTTAACTTTTTCTTGTCTGGGAAACTCTTTATATGGCCATCTATTCTAAATGACAGCTTTGCAGGATAGAGTAATCTTGGTTGTAGGTTCTTGCTTTTCATCACTGTGAATATTTCTTGCCACTCCCTTCTGGCCTGCAAACTTTCTTTTGAGAAATCAGCTGATAGTCTTATGGGAATGCCCTTGTAGGTAACTAACTGCTTTTCTCTCGCTCCTTTTAAGATTCTCTCTTTGTCTTGAACCTTTTGCATTTTGATGAGCTCCAAGTGCTGAGCCAAACTGGCCATGGCTCTTCTCATATTCTTATTGGCTATTTGTATATCCTTTCTTGTAAAGCTTCTATTCAAATGTATTGTCCACTTAAAAAAATGTTTTTATTGATTTTTATTTTATTTTTTAGAGCGAGAGGAAGGGAGAGGGAGAAAGAGATAGAAACATTGATGTATGAGAGAACTATCTACCAGCCACTTCCTGCGGGTCCCCCAGTCTTCCATCAGGGATCGAGCCCACAACCTGGACAAGTGCCCCGACCAGGAATGGAACTGGGACCCCTCCGTCGATGGGACAATGCTCAATCCACTAAGCCACAGGGGCTGGGCTCTTGCCCACTTTTATATTAGGTTGTGTCTGAGTACAAACCTTTTGTCAAGTGTATGTGTTAAAAATTTCTCCCACTCTGTGGCTCACTTTTCCATTAAATTTAGAGGTAAATTATGATAAGCATAAGTTATTAATTTTAATGTAATTTAACTTATAAATGTTGTCTTTTGTTGTTAATGTTTTTTATGTCCAGTGTCCCTATGTTGAGGTCACAAATATATTTTCCTACCCTACCTTCTAGGAGTTTTATTATTTCTTTTGCCTTTTGCATTTGGATCAATAACATATTCAATTCAATTTAATTTTGTATGTTGTTTTCTGTGTAGAGTGAGCTAGGGATCAATATTCTTTTTCCCCCTCCCAAATGGATATCCAGTTGTCTCAGTTAGCCTTTATGAGTTTATCCTTGTTCTCACCTCACATCCATCTCTCCTTCCTAACTACTGGCTGGGTATGCCTAAACAGACTTAAGGACCCTAGATGCACAGGTAACAAACAGCATAGATTTTACCATTGGTCTAATCCCTATCATAAATTTCTCATTTTATATTATTATTTTTTAAAATATATTTTTATTGATTTTTTTTAGAGAGAGTGGAAGAAAGAGGGAGAGAGAAATAGAAACATCGATGAGAGAGAAACATCAATTGGCTGCCTCTTGCACATCCCCCACTGGGGATCAAGCCTGAAACCTGGGCATGTGCTCTGACTGGGAATCGAACCAGTGACCTCTTGGTGTATGGGTCAACGCTCAACCACTGAGCCACACCGGCCAGTAGCTCTCATTTTATATTATTCATAGTGGATCTACTTATTTGATCAAACACTGACTTATATAATACTCTTAATTTGGGAAGACTCATTCTACCAGATATCAAGACTCATTTTAAAGTTGCTGTAATTGAAACATTGTGGTATTAATACTATGATAAACAAATAATCCCAATAAATGGAACAGAATTTGAAAATAGACCCACACATATGTGGACATGATTTATAACAGAGGTGACACAATAGACTCTCTTTCTCCCAATTTCAAGTTCCCATGGAAGGAGCTTAGATCTGGCTCTGGCCTACCCTTTTGGATTGGGAGAGGAAAGTGGCCAAAGATAGAGGGCCTGTAGTAAGCCAAGCAGTTGGCACTAGTTTCCTATTTTTTCTTTTTAAGGTTTTTTTATTCCTTTTAAGACTTGATTTTTCCCTTTCCACTAAAAAATTAGTTTAACAACAACAACAACAACAAAATCAGAGGACCTTATCTGAAAAATCTAAAATCTTTACATACTTTCTTTCATTATTTCCAAACAAGTTATTATTTATTCTATAAATGGCATCAGCTTCTTGGAAAAACAAAATTAAAGTTTTCGAAGAGATTGGAATGCACCTGCTGTCACACTCCATGATGGGGGTCAACTCTGAACTCCATTCCTTTGTATTCTGTGGGCTTTTTGTTGTTTTTTTTGGTGCTAATCCTCATGTGAGAATATTTTTCCACTGATCTTTATTTTTAAAAAATATTTTGTCTTTATTGATTTTAGAGAGTGAGGAAGGGAGAGGAAGAGTGAGATAGAAACATTGATGCGAGAGAACATCAAAGCCTCCTGCATGCCCCCTACTGGGGATCGGGCCTACAACCTGGGCATGTGCCCTGACTGGGAATTGAACCAGTGATCTCCTGGTGCATGGGTTGACGCTCAACCACTGAGTCACACCAGCCAGGATCCATTGATTTTTAGATAGAATGGGAGGGAGGGAGAGAAACATTGATATGAGAGAGACACATTGATTGGTTGCATCCCACCCATCCAGGATGTACCCTTGGTCGGGAATTGAACCCAAGACCCTCTAGTCCATAGGTTAATGCTCTAACTGCTGAAGCAAATCAGCCAGGACTTCTATGGGCTTTTAGCATAGAATATAGGATGTCTCTGCCTTCCTGAGATGAGACAAAGCTGAAGGCCAATGGGAACCACTCACCTTGAGCAGCTGGAGCTAAACCACAAGACCCCCTCATCAGCTAAGAGCCTCCTGGATTCCACCCCTCAGTCCATCCTATGTGAAAGAGGAAGGACACTCATACCAGATTCCATGCCCAAAATGTTTATTCTTAGCATATGCTTGTGCCTGGATGACTAGGAGGTGGACTTTGTGAGACTTTGCTAAGGTGACCTCTGGGGAACTGATTAGGTCACCAGAGCCACAGGGTGAGGATTGAGAAGGTGGCAGTAGCCATGAAGCCTAGAACAAGGTATGGGGAGGTTTTTGAGGGACTCTGGAGAATATGATTGCTTGGCCAATTGGTCCCATCCAGGTGTGTGGCCAGGTGTTCACGCTGAGGCTGAGACAAGAGGTGGGAGTGGCAGGATCTGCCCACCTGCCTGTCTGGAAACTCATCCTCTGCAGGATTCTGACCACTGTTTTCATCTCTCACCTGGGGGTGGAAGTCAGCAGTCAGTGGCTCCCCCAGTGTACCCCTCACTTGCAAACCACTGAATCATCCTTTTCTTTTTTAATCCTCACCCAAGGATATTTTTCCATTTATCTTCAGATAGAGTGGGAGGGAGGGAAGATGGGAGGGAAGGAAGATGGGAGGGAGGGAGCGAGAGGGAGAGAGAGAGCAAGAGAGAGAGAGAGAGAGATGTGAGAGAGACACATTGACGGGTTGCTTCCCACAGGACCAGGGCCAGGACGAATCGCAACCGAGGTACGTGACCTTTTTTTTTTGTTATCCTCACCCGAGGACATTTTTTTCCATTTTTTGTTCAGATAGAGTGGGAGGGAGAGAGAGAGAGAGAGAGAGAGAGAGAAACATCGACATGAAAGGGACACATTGAGTGGCTGCCACCCACACGACCAACCAGGGCCGGGGACAAACTGCAACCGAGGTATGCGCCCTTAGCAGGAACCAAACCCAGGTATCTCTGGACTGCAGGCCGACGCTCTAACCGCTGAGCCAAACCGGCCAGGGCGAGGTACATGACCTTTACTGGAACAAAACCCGTGACTCATTGGTCTGTGGACAGACGCTGTAACCTCTGAGTCAAGCCAGCCAGGGCTGAACCATCCTTTTGACCAGCCCAGCATAATACCTGTTCCACATGTCTGAAGACGCGTAGCAGATTTCCACGAAGGACACCCTGAAGCTCTTCTTCACTCCAGCCCCGCCTCAGTAACTCTTCTATCAGAACCGGGTATGTGGATACATTGTCCAGCTCCTGAGGGAAACTGTAGACACCAGCCAGACAGCTGTGGGACCTCAACCCTGATCCTGGTCTAGGGCCACTGTCCCAACAGCCCCTAGTCACATATGGGAAATTGAAGGCCATGTTCTTTGGGCTACTGAATGCAACTTTGGAAACTCCTTGAGGACTGGGCTTCTGCAGCATCTACCTACTGAACAGATGATCAGCCCACAAAGATTTGCTGGGTTGGGAGAGGAGTTTGTGCAGGGCAGATGAGCTCTGGCTAGGGAAGGGGAGTACTTAATGAAGGTGGTGATCTGGAGTGGCAGTGGGTCCAGTGGGCCACTGAAGTGACAGGGAGAACCCAGGAAACAGGCCCTTGGAGTGAGGAAATGTCAAATTGGCTGGAAAACAAGAGTTTGTGGTTGAAGCTTGAAAGATAGGAGGACCACAGGGTGGGGAACTATAACTCCTTGCTATACCCCAGCCCAAGAAAATCCTCAGGGAAACACTCACCGGCCAGATCCATCATAATTTCCACCAATTCCGATGAACTCAGATCCAATGACTGCCCTGATGTGGTCAAAATGATCTAGAGGGTGGAAGTTAGGGAGGGCAGCACTGGGCTGGAGTTAGAAAGACCCCTGAACCAGCCCTGGTCTGGTGAAGCTCAGCCTTGGCCGATTCCCTAGCCCACAGTATTCTAGGCCATGGAAGCTTACTCCACAGAGCTCCTGGCCAGTTCTGAGTTCTTAAGTAGCCACAGGCTGGACATTGGACCTAGAGTGAATCTCAGAGCCACCCCTTTGGGCCTTTTCCTGCCCACGAACCACTCTGCCTCTGGGTTCCTTGAGAGCTTGGTTGGGGTTCTGCCTGCCTGTCCTGTCCAGAGATGTGGGAGTAAAAGTGAGACTCAGAGGCAGAAGCAAATGCCTGCCCAGACCCATCAGCATTGACTGTGGGCCCAAATCTGGGTGGCAGTGAAGAGCTGTATTTATTCCCCTGGGTTGTTGGGAGGTCTGCCCATTGCTCAGCAGGTGTGCTAGACCACTGGAACTGTCCCGGTAGCCACAGGCCCAAGCTAGAACTGTACAAGGAGTGGAGGTGGGGCTCACCTGCCACGGTGGACACATTAGCAAACAGGTTGCACTGTAAAACCCCCATGGATAGCGTCACCATCACAATGCCACCATTCTTTTTCTACAAGGATAAACAAATGGATTCTCAGCTTGGCTATTCTGGCCTGATGGCCTGCCTCCCGTACCCTGGAGGGCTCTGGTAGGACAGTGCTTAGTCCTGGCTTCAGGGATTGGAAGACACTTCACCTTCTCTGGGTTTCTGGGTCCCTGGGTGGAATTGATTTGGACTTGAGTTTCAGAGATCGGGACAGTTAACCAGCCTTGGGTCCAAAAGTGAGGCCTGGGCTTGTAGCTTTGTTCAGGGTCAAAAATCTTTGTATGAAGCATGCTTAGCCCTGGGTTTGAGGGCTGTGGTAGCCACTCACAAGAAGTTGCAGGATGTCATCTGGAACATTCAGCAAACTGTCGCACACAGCCCTGGCAGCTGAGTGGGAGAAGATCACAGGAGCCCTCGATACCTTTAGCACTTGTTGCACCAAGGTGTCTGATGCATGGGACAAGTCCACCATCATGCCCAGGCGGTTCATTTCCCCTACCACCTTCTGCAGGGACAATTTTTTTTATTTTGGGGTGCGTGTATCAGGGATGCACATACCTGTAGGGAACATGTGGGTTAGGGTAGGGAACAGGAGCCTCACCTCACCGAAGCTAGTTAACCCACTGATGTTGCTGTAGACGTGATCTTTAAACTTGGTGGAACTCTCTGCCCTGCAGAACAGCCGAGGTATTGGGGGGAGCAATCTAGTAGGTCACACCTTGCCCATCAGAGCCTGAGGACTCTGCAATCCTTCTGTTTGTTCATCCATCCCACCTCCAGAACAGGGTAAAGACTTAGACCAGCTGTTATCTGGGAGAGGGAGGGAACTGCTGGCAATCCAGCCTCCCTCTCTGGACACTTCTGTCCTCAGTTCTCTGGCAGTTTCCCTACCATGTCATCTATTATTCCACTATACTCACCAGGGTGTGCTGCAGGTGAAGGTGAGTGTCAGGTAGCGCACTCCCAGAAGATAGAAACTACGCAGTATAGAGAGGCTGCTGTCCAGTGAGTGACCACCCTCCACGCCAATGAGACAGGCCAGCTTTTGAGTGCTGTTCAGAGCTAGAAGAAGGTGGAGAATCAAGTGGTCATGGACCAGGGCCAGAAGCACCAAAGTAAGCCCCTGACTATCTCCCCATTCAACAGCCCACCTTTAGCTGAGGTCACAAGCTCCAATTCAGTGTAGGAAGCACACATGCGACGAATGAGGTCAATCTGTTCCAGCATGAGGCGCACAGCATCCTGGTCCTGACTCTGGCAAGGGGCATGGGCTGCCCAGAACTGGGAGTAGGCCCAGGGGTCCAGAATGAGACCAAACCTTGGCCTGACATTCCTTCTCAGTCCCCAAGGTACTCATTGGGTCAGTGGCCCAAGTGAGGCACTGCATGACCCCATGGCACCTTGATAACTTTTCGGTTTGCTGCCAGCACCCAAACTGTGGACTCATGATACATCATCATTGCCTGCTGTTTGTCCATGTGCTATGTAAATGCCCCAAAGCCAATCGACCATGTCCTTTGTGGTCCCAGCACCTCCCACAATCACCAGGGATTTTCTGGTTACTTTCTGTGTGTCTCCACAGAACCTAGGAACCCATGTGGCCAGCCTATCTAGGCCTTCAATGTCCCCACACTCCCCAGCAGCCACATGACATATCATGTGTCCTATGATACTAGTCACCCAGAGGACTGCCTACCCAGGTTTCTGTGGCCTCCACATGCCCCAGCAGCCATGTTGTGGCACCCTGTGTGTCCCTGTGATACCTGGGCACCCACAAGGCCATCCATAAGCTTATCCAGGCTGGTCTGGCCATGACTGAAGTTGTGCAGGTTAACATCTTGCAGCCTGTTCTGGAAAAGCTGTCTCAGGAGCAGGGGCAGATGATTGTGGCTGGGGGTGTGAAGACAAGGTTAGAGTGGGGACATGGCCTTCAGGTCAGGCAGGATATGTCAACATGCCTGGGCCTGTCCTGTCCCACACCACCTTCCCACCTCACACAGACAATATGGAGACCTCTGTAGGCTCAGCTTGGCAGTGTGGGGCGGGGGTTCAGCAGAAACAGGATAATGGGGAGAAGGGGGCCCATGAATGATGGTTTACAGAGTGTATTCAGGGTAGGTGTGAGGGCGCCTCCTCACTAGCCCTGCATGCTCCGGACCCCCTCCACTGCCTAGGGAAGAGTTCAGCCGCCACCGGCTCCCACCGGCCCCCACACACCGCATCTACACACCCATCTACCAGCGGCGAGTCCCGCATCAAGGCCTGTACGTGCTCCCGCAGTCTCCAGTCTCTGGGGGTGTCTGGTGTGGTTGGGGCACTCAGGACGCTAGGCATGGTGGTAGCGCTGGTAGTTCCCAGGACTGTCGGGGAGCTGGGGACGTCCGTCATGGTCTGGGCGCTGGTAACGGGCTGTAGCAGCAACAACAGGAGCAGCAGACGCAGCAGAGGCCTTCGGCCGAGCACACAAGGACACTCGAGGCCTGCGGTCCACATGCTGAACAGGTCTATACAGGCAGAGAGGGGCTGGTCTCCAGAACCTGAGAGAGGCAGAGAGCGACAATGGGGTCCCAACCGTCGATTTAGGTGACCCAGTGGCGCGGCCTCGCGAGGCGAGTCAAGATGCTGGGAAGACGCCCAGGGATCGGTAACACTGTTACACAGAGAGGCCGCCAGGGGGCGGCACAGCTCTCACGCCGCCAACTGGGTGAACACCCCCGTGGAGCAGGCAGGCCTCTGCCTCGGGCTCCCTCCACCCAGGATCCTTCTGCCTGGGCTTCTGGCAGGAAACGACGGACAAAGAGCGTGGACCAGTGGTGGAACAGGGAGGGTCCCAGGAATGTTCTTAATTTCACCCCTAGTCAGACAAGTCGCAGGTCTATGTGGGGTTTAATTGCAGGGATGTGCCTCACCCTCCAACAGGTCAACTATTCCATTAAATTCTGAGTCCCCACTCAGAATAATGAATTAAATCTGTCTGTTTTGACTGACAGAAAAAAGATTCCCTATATATGTAATACAAATGAGATTTAAGAACAATATTTAGCCCGGCAGCTGTTGCTCAGTGGTGGAGCATCGACTCATGCACCAAGAGGTCACTGGTTCGATTCCCAGTCAGGGCATATGCTCAGGTTGTAGGCCTGATCCCCAGTGCGGGGCATGCAGGAGGAGGCCAATCCATGTTCTCTCTCATCGATGTTTCTTTCTTTTTTTTTTTTTAACCCTCACCCGAGGATATTTTTTTTACATTTATCTTCAGACAAAGTTGGAGGAAGAGAGAGAGAGAGAAAGAAACATCAATGTGAGAGACACATCGACTGGTTGCCACCCGCACAAGCCCAACTGGGGTCAGGGACAAACCGTAACCAAGGTATGTGCCCTTAGCAGGATCTGAACCTGGGGCTCTTTGGTCCAAAGGCCGACGCTCTAACTGCTGCGCCAAACCGGCCAGGGCTCATTGATGTTTGTATCTCTCCTTTTCCCCTCCTCTCTCTCTCTAACATCAATAAAGAAAAACAAACAAACAATATTTATGGGAGACCATTTTGTCTTAGAATCTAATATTGAAATTTGCTTCTATATATAGGTTAATATATGCACAAAAAAGACTAGAGGAATATACATACTAAATATTAGTTAATAGTAGTTATCTTGGAAAGGCGGTTACCAACTCCTGGTCAATTTATGTATTCTCCTTTTTCTGTAATACAGTTATCCTGGCTGAGGGTAGTACTAGTGAGAGCTGGGCAGAGTGGTAAGACATTAGTGGAGGCACCAGAGCAATAGCTGAGCCTTGAAAAGATGGGGCCTGGATCAGTACAGGGGAGAGAAGAGGGCATCCTAGGTTGGCCAGCGGCCCAGGCAAAGGTCTGGTTTAAGCAGAACGACTATACTGTGGAGGAGGAAATGGAAGACCCTAGAAAGCATGGAGGGGTCAAGGTCCAGTTAGAGCTCTTGGTGCTAAGAGCATGGGGCAGAGGGTGTCTTGGTTTGACACATAACTTCACCTGGGGCAGAAATCCTCCTTTAAGACAAGGTGGTCTCCAGGCTGGCCATAGGCCTGGATGGTATAATTAATTGTTTTCTGAAGAAAAAGCCCTGGTTTAGGGGGAACTAAACAGAACTGCATTTGGGTGGCATCTGAGCCTCCTGGGCCTGCACCAGATCCTACCAGGTTGAGGGCCAACTGCATAGACTGAAATGAGTTGTCTTCCCTTTTACATCGGTCTCTCATTCTCTCAGCTGGGCTCTCTGATAAGTGGGCCTCCCCTCTGGGTGCCAGGAGAAGGACCTTGGCCTCTGGTAACCATTGCCCCTGTCTATTGCTGCCACCTCCTCATGTCTTGGTGTTAAGGACCAAGTCTGACCCAGCTACCTCCAGCTTTGGCTCTCTCAGGAAGAAGGTGGGAGGGGAGAAGAGAGAGGGAGAGAGAGAATATGTTTATTATACAACTTATATACCTTAGTTGACTTGCCATGGAGGTCTTCATTTAAACGACATTAAACAACATAATAATAACTTTGCTGATAGTTTATAGAAATGCAAAAGCATGGCACAGCTGTTTCCTGTATTAGTCTAGGTGACAGGAGAGGGCTTAACATTTAGAGTAAACTTTAAAAATGCTATCAATAGCCCGGCCAGTATGGCTCAGTGGTTGAGCATCAACTTGTGCACCAAGAGGTTGCCGTTTTGATTCCTGGTCAGGGCACATGCCCAGGTTGTGGGCCCAATTCCCAGTGTGGGACATGTAGGAGGTGGCCAATCGATATTCTCTCTCATCGATGTTTCTATCTCCCTCTCCCTTCCTCTCTCTTTCAAATCAATAAAAAATATTTTTAATGTTATCAATATATAAACAGTTTCAGTACATTTAAAAAATGTTATCCAATCAGAAAGAATATATGTACCCCCATGTTTGTAGCAGCACTATTTACAATAGCTAAGATCTGGAAACAGCCCAAGTGTCCATCAGTAGACGAATGGATAAAAATGCTGTGGTACATATACACAATGGAGTACTATGCAGCTGTAAGAAAAAAAGATCTCTTATCTTTTGAGACTACATGGAGGGAACTGGAAAGTATTTTCCTAAGCAAAACAAGCCAAACAGAGAAAGACAAGTATCATATGATCTCACTTATTTGTAGAATATAATGAACATAATAGTCTAAGGAATGGGATAGTCCCAGAGACGTGGAAGTGGGGTACAGACTGACAATCCCCAGAAGAAGGGGTGGTGGGGGAGAGATAAATCACAGAACTTATATGCATGTATGCATGAACAATGGACATGGACAACAAAGCTGGGGATAGGGCAGGGAGGGAGGGGGAGAAGGGAATCAGTGGGGGAAACATCTGTAACAAAAATAAATTAATTAATTTAAAAATAAAATAAAATAAAATAAAAAAATGTTATCCATACATAAACAGTTCCGAATGTCTTGTTTTGGTTGACTAAGTAAATCAAAGTTACACTCCTTTTGACAACAACTAGAAAAGCTTGGCAAAATATAAAAAGGATCTTGATGCCCTGGCCGGTTTTGCTCGGTGGTTAGAGTGTTGGACTGCAGGCCAGAGAGACCCGGGTTCAGTTCCCGCTAAGGGCAAATACCTTGGTGGCAGTTTGTCCCTGGCCCTGGTTGGGGTTGTGTGGGTGGCAACCAGTTGATGTGTCTCTCTTACATCGATGTTTCTCTCTCTTCTTCCCTCTCTCCCTCCAGCTCTGTCTGAAGATGAATGCAAATTATCCTCAAGTAAGGATTTAAAAAAAAAAAAAGGATCTTGATGGCATCAAGAAGTTAACAAGATATTGAAGAATTACTTGTTGAGGATCCAAGGAGGTAGAAACTCAGAGATAGGCCGAGCCTTTGGGTTGTTTCTTCCACTAGGGGCATTGTGGGGCTAAGGAGACAGGTTAGCATCCAGGATCCACCAAGGTTAGGAGAACCATGATGGGCATTTAGTTTTGAGTTAGAACACAAAAGAAAAGTGAATCAGGCCTGCAGCAATGCTGGTTATTAAGCAGTTGTTTCTCAACTCCAGGTCCTGCCTTCTTTTCTCTGCTCTGTGAGGCTGGGGCTTTTGGGAAACTTAAAGGCAGGAGGAGAAAATTGCTGCTCCAGCAGTGGCAGTTGGTTGCAGTCTCCAACTACTGGCTGTCACAAAGCAGCCTTGCTAGGCCCATTTAGAACACCTGCACTGGTTGGGTACTCATCTGCATCAGCCTCATTTCAGAAGTCTGAGCCTCAGCAACACAGGGCCCTCAGCCAAGCTTCTATCTTCTAGTAACCCTCACGTCTTCCCACTTCTTCCTAAATGGACCCTGAGTTGGATCAGCTCAGCTTGGAAGGATCTTAAATGGCATTAAGGTGATTCAGAGTCCTATTCAACTAATCCAAAAGGTGTGAAGAAAGAAGCAAACAGCCCTGGTCGGTTTGGCTCAGCGGTTAGAGCGTAGGCCCGCAGACCAGAGAGACCCGGGTTTGGTTCATGCTAAGGGGATGCACCTCGGTTGTGGTTTGTCCCCAGTCAATGTGTTTCTCTCTCTCTTCTCTCTCTCTCTCTCTCTCTTTCTCTCTCTCTCCCTTCCTCCCTCCCTCCCTCTCCCTCTCTCTCTCCCTCCCTTCCTTCTTCCTTCCCTTCCTTCCACTCTATCTAAAAAATCAATGGAAAAATATTCTCGGGTGAGGATCAACAAGCAAACAAAAGAAAGAGGCCTCATAGGTCCTGGCTGGGTGGTTTTGTTGGTTGGAGAGCTGTCCTGTACACCAAAAGGTTTCGAGTTTGATTCCTGGTTATGGCTCATTCCTAGGTTTTGGGTTTGATTGCTGGTCAGGACATGTATTGGAAGCAACCAATCAATGTTTCTCTCTCACATCAATGTTTGTTTTTTCTCTCTCTCCCTTCCTCTCTCTAAAAATCAATAAAAACATATCCTCAGCCCAGCTGGTGTGGCTCAGTGGTTGAGCATTGACCCATGCACCAAGAGGTCACCGGTTTGATTCCCAGTCAGGGCACATGCCCAGGTTATGGCCCAGATCCCCAGTTGGGGGGACATGTGGGTGGAGGCCGATCAATGTTCTCTCTCTCTCATCGATGTTTCTATCTCTCTCTCCCTTTCCCTTCCTCTCTCCTTAAAATCAATTTAAAAAATTATTTTTAAAAAAAGAAGAAAAAAACTATTAAAAGTATATTTTTTGTAGTAGATATAATATTAAGACACCAGAAGGCATAGTTTGTGGCAAAGTTGGGGTGGTCTCTTCTATAAAAATAAAATGTTATGTATGATAAAAATTGAGGAAGTGGTATTGATATAGCAAAAAATATTTGTGATAATTGAGGCAGAAATGGAGGGTAGACACCAGGGGAATGCAGAAGGGTCCCTCAAAGGCCTCTGGGCTCCAAAGGCTCTCCTAGTCTGCTTGAGGGTGAGCCTTTTGAAGAGATCCTTCCCTAGCTCAGCCTGGGGACTGGCCAGCCTGCGGAGGTGAGTCAAGTGTCACCCGTATTCTTGATGAGTTTCACCTCCTCATCCAGTAAGTGGTACTCCAGGAAGTCACAGAGATGAGGGTTTACGCAGGTAGAACCCAGGGCCTGAAGATCCAAAAGGGCCTGGTTCAGGTTCTTCTCCATGACCATGGCAGCTTCCATGACGTTCTGAGTTTTACACCATTCATCTTAGAAAGGTATCCTGGAAATGAATGCAGCCATTAGTTGGTTTTGCATCTTTAAGAGACTTTGGGCGCCCTCCAGTTTTTCCTCAGCCAACTTGAGGAAGAAGTGGCTCATGCCCCACAGAGCCACATCACTGTGGTGGAAACAGAAGCCCAGAGAGAGGTAGATGTAGGAGGCCTGCAGATGCAGAGTGCCCAGGCTGTTGACGGCAGCCTCCATCTTGGTGGAATAATTCTGACAAATTTGGGATCTCACAGTTAAATAAGGAGTTAAAGTCCCCAAATGGTGTTTGCTGCCTTGGCTGATGTGGCTCAACTGGTTGGAGTGTCGTACCCTGTACTGAAAGGTGGCAGGTTTGATACCTAGTAGGGGCACATATGGAAGGCAACTGATCAGTGTTTCTCATTCTTTCTCTCTCTCCCCCATCCCCTCCCCGTCCTCTAAAATAAATTTTTTAAAATTTTAAATGGTGTTTGTGCCCCACTGGTGTGGCTCAGTGGACTGAGCATCGTCCCATGGCCTGAGAGGTCCTGGTTCAATTCCTGATCAAGCACATGCCCAGGTTTCAGGCTCCATCTCCAGTAGGGGGCTTGCAGGAGGCAGCCATTCAATGTTTCTCTGACATTGATATTTCTATCTCTCTCTCTCAAAACTCAATTAAACACACGTTTAAACAAACAAATAAATAAAAAATAAAAACAGTGTTTGCTGATCTCAGAGGCTGAGGATGTCTGAGGTGGTTCCAAAGGTAGTGACTGAAAAAGAGGTTGGAGAGTGGTTGGAGAGTGGAAGAAGGGGCCATTCCTGGGTATGTTCTGTCCAAACACTGTTGAAGCAAGAGACAGATCTGGAGGACTACCATGGACACTGCCCATTATTTCTACTGAAAATTCAGTTGTATTGTTGTTCTTCAAGTTTATGTGGTTTTTAAAAATATGACTCCTTTTAAGGTAATCTTTTGTCTTTGACTCCTTAGAGTTTGACTTTGAAATCTACAGTTTGGGGTTATTATGAATAGTACTGTTATAAATATTTCATATGCCTTTGGGGAAATATATGCATGCATTACTCTTGTATATATACCTGGAGTGAAATTGCTCAACCATTGGGATATGCATAGACTATTAGCATTAATTATTATTTTTATTAGCCATTATCTATTGTTTATTAACTGTGATCATTAACTCTTAATGTATTAACTCTTAATTTTGGCTATTAGTGCAGTTGCTAGTACTGTTAATGGGTTGGGGGTAAGATGGGGTGGTTGTCTTTAAGTAGCCTGTACCTCTCAGAGAGGAAGTCCCTGGGGGTCCAGGGAAGGGTGGGCCCATATCCCGGGAAGTCCAGCCATTGGAGGCCCATGGCCCATTATATGGCTTGACATTCTAGGCTCTGACCAAATAGGAACAAAGGTCATTTGTGTCCAGGCAGGATCCCTACTTGGGAATGTGAATTAGAATTCTCTGAAAGACCTCCAGGATGGGGATTGAGGTGAGCTACCTAGAGGGAATTCAGAGTAGGGCCCACCCTTATGCAGCCAGAGCCACCCACTGTTTACTTCCAGTGCTGAGCCCGATTACCTGGGTTTCCTCAGGCCACTACCAACAAATCTTCCTTGAGTAATTGGTGGCTGAACTTCAGGGTCCCCTACCAACCACCAGCACTGGGAGCCTGCGCCATCAGACCCACCACAGAGAAGGACACTCATGCCAGATTCAAGTCTAAAACATTTATTTTCAAGAAATATTTGTGCCTGCACAAAGGGGGAACTTTGTGGGGTGTCCACAGCCACCAGAGTGACATCCAACAGGATGAACTGGGTCACCAGAGCCACAGAACGATGACTGGGAAGGCAGCAATAATCACGAGGCTTGGGGACATGTGGGGGGATGATTTTGAGAATGACTTCTTAGGTGACAACTTGGGCTTCCAATGCACAGGAGTCTCAGTTAGTTTCTGTTCTGGAGCCAGATATTGTTTCTGATGCAGCCTCGGGAGGATGGAGCGGCAAGAGCTCCCCAGCTGCTCATCTGGGAACTCATCCTCTAAGGGCCTTTGTCCCTTGCTTTCTTCCCGTACCTGGAGGCAAACAATTGGTGGTCAGCAGTTCCCACAGCTTCCCCCAACATGCCTGCTCAGACTCCTGAACTACCCTTTTGCCCAGCCCAGCATACCTGTTCCACCTGTCTGAAGACCCGCAATAGGTTTCCTCGAAGGACACCCTGGAGCTCTTCTTCATTCCAGCCCCGACTCAGCAACTCCTCTATCAGTACCGGGTATGTGGACACGTCTTCCAGCCCCTGAGGGAATCTGTATGGCCGTCAGGCAACCAGCTGTTGGGCCCCAGACCTGTTCCCTGGTCCTGACTCAGAACCACAGCCCTATGTGTCCAGGGTCTACTGAATCCCGGCTCTGGTCAGATATGGGAAATGGAGATTGGGAAGGAGTAAATGATTCACTCCTGCTCTTCATCTTTCAAAAAACAAAATCACCTTGAATATTCATCAAACTCATTTGAATTGTATTAAGATCTATGCCTTTCGCCCTGGCCAGTTTGGCTCAGCGGTTAGAGCGTCGGCCTGCGGTCCGGAGAGACCCGGGTTCGGTTCCCGCTAAGGGCGCGTACTTCGGTTGCAGTTTGTCCCCGGCCCTGGTCGGTCGTGCGGGTAGCAGCCACTCGATGTGTCCCTTCACATCGATGTTTCTCTCTCTCTCTCCCTCCCACTCTATCTGTACAAAAAATGGAAAAATATCCTCGGGTGAGGATAAAAAAAAAAAAAAAAAAAAAGATCTATGCCTTTCACTGAATGCAAATTTTTTCTCTATATATAAAGAGAAGAAAAGCTTTTTTAAAAAAAAATCATTCATTCGAAGACTTTATTTTTTATCCTCACCCAAGGACATTTTTGCATTTATCTTCAGAGAGAGTAGGAGGGAGAGAGGGAGGAAGAGAGAGAGAGAGAAACATTAATGTGAGAGAGACACATCGAGTGGTTGCCAGGGACAAACTGCACCCAAGGTACGAGCCCTTAGTGGGAACCAACCCGGGACTCTCTAGTCCACGGGCTGTTGCTCTAACTGCTGAACCGAACTGGCCAGGGCAAGAAAAAAAGATTTTTTAAAAAGCTATTTTTTTCTTTATTGATTTTAGAGAGGGAGGAAGGGAGATGGAGAGAGATAGAAACATCGATGAGAAAGAACATCGATTAGCCGCCTCCTACATGCCCCCCACTGGGAATTTGGCCCACAACCTGGGCATGTGCCCTGACTGGGAATCGAACCGGTGACCTCTTGGTGCATGGGTTGATGCTAAACCACTGAGCCAGACTGGCCGGGCAAAAAGAAAAGCTTTTTATGAACTGGGTTGAACCCTAGCTGGTTTGGCTCAGCAGTTAGAGTCTTGGCCCACAGACCGGTGAGTTGCAGGTTTGATTCCAGTCAAGGGCACATACCTCGGTTGTGGTTTGTCCCTGGTCCTTGTCGGGGTCGTGCAGGAGGCAACCAGTCAAGGTGTCTCTTTCATGTCGATGTTTCTCTCTCTCTCTCCTTTCTTCCCTCCTACTCTTTCTGAAGATAAAATGAAAAAATATCCTCGGGTGAGGATTAAAAAAAAAAAAGGAACTGGGTTGAACTTCTGCATGCACAGACCCAACTGCAAGCAGAAAAGATGGTCAGCCTGTACCAGACCTTGCTAAAAGTGTGCTCAGAGACAGTGGGTCTGCTGGCACTGAGGGTGAGTACACATGCTGGGCAGATGAGCTCTGTCTGGGTGGCTCAGACAAATATGATGACCTAGATTGGGGCCAATGGGCCACAGACACACAGGAAAGTTCAGGAAACTGACCCTGGGAGAGGAGATGGCAGGTGGGTCAGTAGACCTGAGGCTGTGGTAAAGGCCTAAAGGCCATGAGGACCCTGCTGTGGTTGGCATGGAGACTATCAAGGCACCACTGCTACACAGATAGGCCCTGAGAAGCCACAGGAAAGCACTCACCGGTTGGCTCCATCATAATCTCCACCAATACCAATGAACTTGGATCCAATGACTGCCCTGATGTGGTCGAAATGATCTGGGGGATGGAAAGTCACCAATGTGGGGCTTCCAGGGCATGGGTTGTAGATGGGGACTGGACTCTGCTGATTCCCCTTCTTGCAGCCTATAGGCCATGCAGGCCCATTACTTCATGGCTTGGCACCCAGTGTGCCAACTTGAGAGCTCTAAGCTTTGACTTGACATGACCCCAGCTGTATCTAGACTGAACTTCAGATTTGGAGTAGATCTCAGGGCCACCAGTTTGGGCCATTTCACATCAGGATTCACCCTGCCAAGAAAACATGGGTGCTTCTTTCCATGTGTGTGAAGGATGAGAGGGGGACAAAGAGTACAACTGACAAAGACTGCAGAGACCTAAGGGGCTGCTCCTACAGAGGCACCCAGGCTTTATGTCTGACTTCCTCCCTTATACCCATCAGTATTACACTGTCCACTCTGGCTCCAGTTCTACATGGCACCAAGGTTTGTATACTGTCCATTTTGGGATATTGGGGGATAATGCCTATTGCCAATGGGTGGGTCAAATGTGTTGGCTGTTCTGAGGTTCCCCAGTAAAGGTTCAGGTCCAAATCAGAGCTGCTCAGAGAGCTTGGGTGGGGGTGAGGGCAGGGGCGGGGCTGGGGAGTGGTTGGGCTTACCTGCCACAGTGGACACACTGGCTAACAGGTTGCACTGCAGCACCCCCACGGACAAGGACACCATCACGATGCCACCATTCTTCTTCTGCATGAGTGGACAAATGGATACTCAGCTTGGTCCCCCTCAGCACAACCACCTGCCTGTTCACCTACTGGGCCCCTATGAGGAGGTGTTCAGCCCTGGCTTTCAGGTCAGAGGAGACTTCATCTCTCTGGTTTGTGTGAATGGAGGAGTCTCAGCCCTGGTTTGAGTGATGTCTTGGCCTTGGGTTTGAAGATTTAGAGGTATATTTACCACCTACAAGCCTATGTTGGGTTCAAGAGTTCAGGGCTGTGGAATGTGAGTTTGTGGGGCAGATGTTCAGCCTAGGGTATGAGGAAGTTGGGGAAGCTGGGGCTCAGGTTCAGGTTCAAATTTCTTGCTTTAGGTTTAAGGGTCAGTGGTCTCTCACCAGAAGCTGCAGGATATCATCAGGAACATTCCGTGCATTCTTGCAAACCCCCCGGGCAGCTGAGTGGGAGAAGATCACAGGTGCCTGTGACACTTCCAGGGCCCGTCGTGCCACAGCGTCTGAGACATGGGACAAGTCTACCATCATGCCCAGGCGGTTCATTTCCACCACCACCTTCTGCAGGGAAAGATTGAAAGGAGGTATCAGGGGTGCACATATATGTGGATTTATATATGGGGAACAGGTAGGGTGTGTGTATATGCATGTAGGGCAGGGTATGGAACCAGGGTTCTCACCTCACCAAAGCTGGTCAGCCCGCTGACATGGTTGTAGAAGGGGTGGATACTCTTAGCTGAGCTCTCTGCCCTGCAGGATGGCCAGGAGGTAGTCTGACTGGTGGTCATAATTGGGCCACAAGAGCCGAGAGGTCCTACTGAGCCCTCTATCCCCATACCCCCTGGAGCAAGAGCAGGAACCCAAGTTGGACTGTGCCTGGCCATAGGAAGATCCTGCTGGGGGTCCAATCTTGTTCTGTGAATCCAGCTCCCCTCCCTACTCCAGGGTCAGTGCCAGATCCCAGAGGTAAAGTGTGGTCTGGGTCCCAGTGGGATCTCAGGCAGATCACTGCCTCAGTGGGCCCATACCATCTGCACTGTGCTCACCAGGGTGTATTGCAGGTGTGGGTGAGTGTCAAGTAGCGCACACCCAGCATATAGAAGGTACGTAAGACGGAGAGGCTACTGTCCAGTGAGTGACCGCCCTCCACACCAATGAGGCAAGCCAACTTCCGGGTACTGTTCAGAGCTGGGGGCAGGTAAGGTCAGGTGATCACTTTCAGGACCTGGGGTAGCTCAATCAAGTCCCTAAGACCATCCCACCAACCTGCCTACCATTTTTTTTTTTTTTTTATCCTCACCCGAGGACAGAGAGACAAAGAGAGGGAGAGAGAGAGAGAGAAACATGGGAGAGAAACATGGACGTGAAAGGGACACATCGACCAGCTGCCACCCGCACGGCCAAACAGTACCAGGGACAAACTGCAACCGAGGTACATGCCCTTAGCGGGAACCAAACCCGGGTCTCTCTGGACCGCAGGTTGACGCTCTAACCGCTGAGCCAAACCAGCCAGGGCCCAACCTGCCTACCTTTAACGGAGGTCACAAGCTCCAGCTCAGAATAGGAGGCACACATTCGGTGGATGAGGTCAATTTGCTCCAGAGTGAGGCGCAGGGCATCCCGTTCCTGGGTCTGGCATGGGACGTAGGCTGACCAGAACTAGGGGAAGGCCAGGGATTGGCTTGGGTAGGGGCTGCTTTGGAGCTCCTCCTTTATAGACTCCACAGCCCACACAGCACCCAGTGGGCCCAGAGATCACATGTAATGAACTGCTTATTCCGTGGTACCTGGATGTCCACCAAACTGGCTAACCATGGCCCCTGCATCCCCCCCCCAGCATCCATGTCATAGCACTTTTGGGGTCACTATGGTAACTGTTTTTCCATATGACTAACTTATTGTCATCTCAAGGGCCCCATATTCCCCCACATTCCCCAGCAGCCACTGGCACCTTCTGTGTCCCTGTGGTACCTGTGCACCCACAAGACCGTCTCTAAGCCTGTCCAGGCTGGTCTGGCCATGGCTGAAATTGTGCAAGTTAACATCCTGTAGTCGGTTCCGGTAAAACTGCCTCAGGACCAAGGGCATGTCGTTGTGGCTGGAAGGAAGTCAAGGTAGAGTCAGGTCAGGGACAAATGGGTGTGGACTCTTTTAGGCCTGGGCAAGCTTAGGCGCTCCCCACCCCACACTGTCACAGGGACTATACCAGGACCCTCTGAGACCTGGGCTAAGGCATTCCCAACAGGGAGGGGGTGACAGAGGAGGGGAAAGGGCTTCCAAGAATGATGGAAAAGGACATCCAGGGGTGGTGTGAGGGAACCCCCTGACTAGCCCTGCATGTTCAGGGCCACCTCCCCAATCCAGAGATGAGCTCACTTCCCCAGTCCAGGGGTCAGTTCAACCCCCATTGTCCCCCCAACCCCCACCGCATCTACGTACCCATCCACTAGTGGGAAGTCCCGCATCAGGGCCTGAGCAAGCTCCCGCAGATTTGGGGTGCTGAGGGTACCCTCCGAGGTCGGGGCACCAGCGGTGCCAGGCACAGTAGAGTCGCTAGGAACTCCTGGTCTAGACGGGGCGCTGGGAGTGCCGGGTGTGGGAAGGACACTGGGGGTGCCGAGCGCTGTCGGGGTGCTGGGGGCGCCTGGCGTAGTCTGGGCGCAGGTTACCGGCTGTAGCAGCAACAGCAGGAGCAGCAGAGGCTGCCAGCCGAGCATGCGGGGACACTCAAGGCCCGTGGGCTGCATGCTAAGCACGTCCAGGCAGGCGGGCAGGAGCTGGTCTCGAAAACCTGAGAGAAGCAGGAGAGGGGCAGAGGGCAATGATGAGGTTCCAACCGTCGGCTCAGGCGACCCTGCAGCACGGCCTCGCGAGAGGGGGATGAAGTCACAGGACCTTGCGACGGGTGAGAAGAGAATTGCGACACCGTGCAGCACTGCCACCAGGGGGCGGCACCGCCCTCCCACTTCCAGCCCCGAGGCTCCCGCCCCCCCCCCCCCCCAAGGCTGGGCTTCCCTCAACCAACTTCGTGTGTGGTGTGCGCCCTCTAGTCTCCCATGGCAGGCTCCCCGCCCGGCCCCTCTCCCCACACCCACTTCTCCAATGGGTCCCACCCAGGTTTCTCTCCCCTTGACCAGATCCTTGCTCTCAAGCCTGGAGTGCTTCTGCTAGAGAGTGGCTCTCAGCCCTGTGACCTCTCCCAACCACGCCATGTCCCACCTGCCTGCCAACTGTTCTGGACAGCCCTAGGACCACATGCAGGTATCTTTGTGGTCACAGTGTTCTAGGTTCCTGGTTTTTCTGTGCTGGGCCATGTGGGTTGAGTGTGAAGGAGGAAATAGTCTCTGGAAATAAGAGGTTAACTTTATGGACTCTGGATTCAGGTAGTAGCCCTCTGCCCCTAACCTTCTATTTTCCCTACCTTACTTCCCAGCCTGCCTGTCCAGTCCCAGGTACACCATCCAGGAATTGGGAAGTGTCAGGAGATCCCCCTCTCCCATGTTCCCCAGTCAGCCTCAGGAAAGAGCTCTCTCAGGATCTGCTACACATCCCCAGTGTCTGAATAGAGGGACTTTGGGGATGTGAACCTGGCAACCATCTGGAGAGGGTCAGAGACCATTTACTCAACAGAGCAGAAATGCAGATAGTAGGCTATTTGAGTGGAAGAAAATGAGTCATTTCCAGGGCAGCAGAGCCCCCAATCCCAGCAATTTTCTCCCAGAGAGCTGGCTGACCTGCTGGCCAGGATCCCTCCTACCTCAGTGTGGAAGCCCCCGTCTTGTTGAGGTCTGAAGTATAGAGTCCTAAGGAAACGCCTGGTACTTGGTTATTGTGGCTATCCTGTGGCTCCTCTGGCTCTAACTCTCCCAGAAACCTTGCCGGCTAAGTTCTTGTCTTTGCTTGGCAGGCCCCACCCCATTCCCAGCCTCAGGCCCTCACCCTAACTCTCTCCTCCAAGAACCCCCACCCACACACCCACACCCTCACACCCACACACACATGGGGAATGTGCCTTATCACAGAAGCTGAGAGGCTTCTGGGTCTGTGCCCAAACTCCTCCATCCTCAATCTCTCAAGTTTCTACTCTGATCTTTGGCACCCCTGGAATTGCTCCATCTTTGTAACTTTTGCCAGGTAATAGTAGTGACAAGTGCAGGGATAGTGACTTGAGTGTGAGGACTGGAGACCCTAGAAACTTCCCCCAAAATGAAGTGAGCAAAACTCTTCCAGTGGGACTAGAGGCCCTGGGCTATCCAGGAGGGGAAGAGTTCCTAGCTTGGGTATATTTGAGGGATTGTGAACTTGATGTTATCCAGCATCTGTTGGCCAGGAGGAAGAGCAAACCAAAGGCACTGACTCCCTGTCTACTGAAGCTTGGGGGTTCTCTAGGCAGCCCCCCTGCAGAATGTTGAGTCCCCCAGGGCTCTGCCCTACTCGGCTTGTGCACCCAAATTCAGACCTGGCTCCCTTCCTTCCCCTCACTCCTTACTGCTGGTCAGCAACCCCACAACCACTCTTGCAGATGAGTGGGGAGAAATTCTTGGATCTACTGTTCTCCAAGCCACAAATGTGAGTTTGGGGAGTAAACATCACGTCTGTTTCACTCTTGATAGCCCCACCAGGAAGCAGTTATAAAGAAAAGGGAAGAGAAGGGCAGGAAGTCCAGACAAATAGATAGCAGCTGTTGATAGAGGAATGAGAAGGGAGAATTCAGCTCTTTGAGGGTTTTTAGTTTTTCTTCAGGGACCAAATGTCTAACATCCCAGGACTTGGGGGAAACTCTAGTCCAACAGAGATAGGCTGTGTTGAGCCAGAGAAGGTGGGCACCATCTCTGTAGATTAGCCAAGCAGCAAATTTTCTGTAACATTCAACTTCAGTCTTTAGGCTGGCTTTGCTGGCCTTGGCCTTGAGGTGACCATACACCCAGCTACACACAGATACACCAGACCCTTATACACTTAGGGGCATGTGAGTACTCACATCCAAGTGGCACGCAGATTTCAGCCAACAGGGTTGCCTGTCTTTCTCTGAATTTCACCGAGGCCATCTCTGTGCCCTGCTGCATGCAGGGGGAAATAGACACACACTAGTCTAGCCTTATCCTTTAGGAGCTTCCAGTGTCAGTAGACAGACTTGGACACAGGGACAATTTGGGGACAGAGGCTATGACAAAGGTTATTCAGATGCTGGAATTGGGTAGAAGTGGCAGGGAAGCCCAGGACCTGGCTGCAGAGCTGACCTGAATGTCATCCGTGATGCCTCCTTCCCTCTGCTTACCCCTCCTTTTTTAGGACCTCTCCTAATCCTGCTGGTTCACGCTCCAAAATCTCCCAGGAGTGTCTCCTCCCTGTTCCCACTGAGGGCCACCTTCAGCTCTCACCTCTTCCTGGTCTCCCCACCTCCAGTCCACTCGCCACAGAGCAGCCATACCTATCCCTTTCGATGTCATCCTCCTGTGTAAAGTTCTATGGTTTCTCATTGCTCTTAGGATATATAAAATTCCTTTATTTGGTTCTCAAGCCCTGGGCAGTCTGTTCCCATTGATTTCTCCAGTCTCAGCAAATAGCACAAACCCTCTCACCCTCTAAAGTCTGGCCACACCAGCTATGCTGCCAGTTGCCACAGGGCCTTGGCATGTGCTGTCCTCTCACAGTCTCCAACTGGTGGGGTTGTTAAGGCAGGGCCAACATAGAAAATCTTGCCACCAGAAAAAAGTATGTGAGTAAGAAGCTTCTCTTCTAATTCTTCACCTATGCAATGTTTACAGAAATCAACATCTGAAGAGGAGGCAGTGGTAGAAACAGGCTTCTCCTGAGACCAAGCTGACTCTGGTGGTGAAGCCAGCCCACTAATCTCCATTGTACTGTAAGAATATGCAGGGAAGAAAGAAGTCAAACTAAGTGATAGTCACACAAGCTACCTCACACGTTCAGAATGCAGGGTGGGGTGGAGGTAGGGGGCTTCCTCAGTATCCAGTGTTGCTTAGGTGATGGTCTTCCACATGCAGGGTTCCTTAATCCTGGAGACTCATGCTGCCCCTATTTTTTTCTGGGTATTGCTCTGGTTCGGCTCCCATGATGACTAACATAGTTAAAGTCTCAAGAAATAGTCTCTTCAGCCAGAAGACAGCCTGGAAGCCACAGACATACATCCTCCAATCACAAAGCTGAGGCTACCCTTCCTGAAGTGACAAACAATTTGCACATTTTCCTTCCTCAAAAGGTAGTGATCATTGCTCTTGCTAGAATTGCATAACCACAAGGGCATCTCACTTCCACTCAGCTTTTTCCCTAATCCCCACCTTTCTCTTTAGTACCCTCGCCAGCATCTCTGTTCAACACTCCTAGGGCGGTTTTTTGATGAAGATGAATGATGACTCGGGTCCTCTTGCAGCCAGGCTCTGCCTGATTTCAGGCGGTCGAGGACTAGCATACAACGTCCCCAGAGCAAAGTTGCAAGTGGTGTATGACAGGTTTGACATGTCTGACTGGGCTGCTTCTGGGAACTAGATGTTCTGGTGACTTTGGTGTGAAGCCCACAGGGCTTTGGGCTCTTGTTCTGAGGTTGGTTTTTGTGTTGTTCCTCATCTTTGAGGTAGTGCCATCAACTGGGGGCAGGCTGGAGAGGCCTGAGGTATAGGAGCTTGACCCACAAATGCCCTCTAGGGAGTCCCTGGGATTCAAGCTTTGCTCCCCCTAATTCTAGCATGTATGATAGATAACTGAAGAGTTATCTAGCACCCTTACTGCATACCCCAGCAAAGGGCCAGCACCAGTGAGTGATCAGTAAAGGATAGCTGGGCAAATGAATAGATGTAAGGGATTCAAGTCTTCTCCTGGTGAGAGAGGTAGAAGCTAGAAGTGCAGAAGTCCAAGGAATCTCTGTCTGACTTGGCCAGGAGGGCATCAGCCTCTTGCCACCATGCTTGTTGTTGAATTTTGGGGCTGGAGGTCTTTGTCCTACTCTTCCAGAGGTTGATGTCTCTTGAGTGCTCTTCTGGGGACTGGCTTCTCTGCCTCTACTTATTTATTTATTTATTTATTTATTTATTTATTTATTTATTTATTTATATTGTTGACAGTATTACAGATATCTCCCCACCCCCCACCCTTTACCTGCTTCCTCCCAGCCCCTGCCCCACCTCAGGCCTCACCACACTATTGTCTGTGTCCATTAGTTATGCGCATATATATATATATGTTCTTTGGTTAATATCTTCTGTCTCCTCCCACCCTCCCCTCTGAGATATGTCAGTCTGTTCCATGTCTCCATGCCTCTGGACCTATTTTGTTCATCAGTTTATTTTGTTCATTAGATTCCACTTATTGTCTTTCTCTAACTGGCTTATTTCACTCAGCATAATATTCTCCAGGTCCACCTATGCCATCATAAAGGATCAGAGAGCCTTCTTTTTTATAACTGCATAGTACTGCATTGTGGAAATGTACCACAACTTTTTTTTTTTTTTTTAATCCTCATCCAAGGACATTTTTCCATTTTTTGTACAGACAGAGTGGGAGGGAGAGAGAGGGAGAGACAGAGAGGGAAACATCGATGTGAAAGGGACACATCGAATGGCTGCCACCCGCATGACCAACCAGGACCGGGGACAAACTGCAACCGAGGTACATGCCCTTGGTGGGAACCAAACCCAGGTCTCTCCGGACCGCAGGCGGACGCTCTAACTGCTGAGCCAAACCGGCCAGGGCTACCACAACTTTTTAAACCACTCATCTACTGATGGGCACGTGAGCTGTTTCCAGATCTTAGCTATTGTAAATAACACTGCTACGAACATAGGGATGCATATATTCTTTCTGATTGGTGTTTCAGGCTTCTTAGAGTATATTCCTAGAAGTGTGATTGCTGGGTCAAACAGTAGTTCCATTTCTTTTTTAATCCTCTCCTGAGGACATTTTTCCATTTTTTGTTCAGATAGAGTGGGAGGGAGAGAGAGGAAGAGAGAGAGAGAGAGAAACATCGACGTGAAAGTGACACATCGAGTGGCTGCCACCTGCATGACCAACCAGGGTTGGGGACAAACTGCAACCAAGGTATGCGCCCTTAGCGGGAACCGAACCGGGGTCTCTCTGGACCGCAGGCTGATGCTCTAACCACTGAGCAAAACTGGTCAGGGCTCCATTTTTAATTTTCTGAGTAAATGCCATACTGTTTCCCATAGTGGCGGCACCAATCTTTATTCCCACCAGCAGTATACTAGCATTTCCTTTTCTCCACATCACTAGCACTTGCTGTTTGTTGATGTATTGATGGTAGCCATTCTATTCTCTGCCTCTACCTTTGTTTTGTTTTTTTCGTATGTGCCCCTAGCAGGAACCAAACCTGGGACTCCCTGGTCCGCAGGCCAACACTCCAACTGCTGAACTAAAATGGCCTGGGCTCTCCCTTTACCTTTGCTGTGGTGGTCAAAGGAGCATCCTCATAGACCCAGTAGCCACTGGCCAGGCAGTGTGTCTCCTCATGCCAGCCCACCTGGGTTTCTCCACACTTTCAGCAGGGTACATGGTAGTGACCAGGTGTAGGAGGAAAGGTGGGAGCCAGTGCTGCTGGAAGAAAAATCATGATCAATCACCTGTGATGTATACTGTCCCTCTCTCATGTCTCTATCAGGTTCTTGCTGAAGGCTTCTAATCTGCTTGGCATCCAAAACACAGTCTTAAGCCATCACTTCTATGAGTCCCCTAGAGAAGGGGTGTTGCTGAAATAGCAATTCTGTGGGGCTTAGGGCAGCAGCAGGAGAATATAAAATCTTCCCTATTCCCAGAGAAAACAGAACCCGAAAAACATTGCTGTCAAGATCCTCTCCATCCCACAACAGAGAAAAGATTTCTTATAGCTTGTCACTTCCAAGGCTTTAAGGAAATGCCTTCCAAATTTTGTTAAACAATCTAGTATAAATCATTGAAGAACCTCTCTCACATT